GGGTTATAAGGCGTTTATGAGGTTATGTCATAGGCTTTATTGGATTACAGGTGTTGGGGCTATATCAGTAGATCATAAGTTTGATGGAGATTAGAAAGATGTTTTTCTTTTTTTTCTTTTTTTTTCTCGGGGGGCGGGTGGCTATACCATTAGGCTTTATAGGGCTTCTAGGGATGTTTAGGGGGTTATATCATACGTGTTATAAGTAAAACGGGTGATATCATAGGACTGTGGCTGCTGCCAAGGCATGAATGATACTGGCCCGGCAGAACACATGCACTAAGCATCACTAGTTGAGCATTCATGTCCGGTTAAGTTTATGGTGTTATAAGTCCCCTAAGAAGCGTCTTGACTTTGGAATTCAGCATGCTGAACAAACAAGCCTGTCAGAGTCCACGGATAGCACTCTAAGTTGGGTTCAAGTGCAGACTCCTCCGTCACAACAGTTCTCACGCACCACAGAACCCAGAAAGCCTTCCCTTCTCGACTTCCCAGGCAAGTGGGAAGGAATCGGGGACATGAAGCCTGCAAATATGACAGGAATGACGATTGGAGCAAGAGGCACCAAGAAGCTGAAATGCCAGGGGTGGAGGAACATTTCCAGGATGGCAAGCTAAGTTGATAAAGGGATTTTCGCGGCAAGTACTTCAAGAAGCAGACCAGAAATGGTTCCAAGTTACAAAACAACTTTGACGAATGAACCACTGCATCCTAAACAAAACGAACTACAGAGACGCGTAATTACTGAACGCAAAATCTGTGTAAGGCATGCTGAACTATTGTAAGGGTGGTTTTAGAGGGAAATCAGGTCCCTTGCTTCAGGATGTACGGGAAAGCGTCTTACTAGCTCTTCCGGCCCTTAACCCGGAACTTGCACCCAATTACGCCCGGCTACTCTCACCCGCGTAGCCGAAAAAGCTGCCGAGCACGAAAAGCAGCGAACCCTCAGTGAAGAAGATAGCGATCCTGGATCAGGACAATGAAGTTCAAGGGTAAGTAGCAGCGCTAGTCGCTAGTCCAGGGTTCAGGCTTGAGGCATCCAGGGTCTAGTGGCTGATGCCCCCAGGAAACCTATGCTGGCCCTTGCAAGCACTGCTCTTCAAGCTCGGGGGGGAGGGCAGGCATATGGTGATACGCTTGGAACCGATTTCAAGAATCGCTGGAAGCAAGCTTTCGAAAGCGTTCTGTGGTTGTTCAATACTCCTGGCCGCAGTCCGTCCTTGTAAGCGAAACTCGATGCAGCTCCACCCTGACTTGAATGGGATATTATAGACACCCAGGCCCATCCATGTCCCTAGCACCTTTTGCATAAGTGATTCTGCATGCGCGGAATCTAAACACAAAGGTAGTCCCAACATGTCCCAATAAACAATAAGCTGTAATGTAGGGGTCTGGATGGGGAGGGTTTCGGGGACATGTTATTCAACACTTACACAGGTGTTGAAAAGGGTGGCAATATCCCTCGTTTTTCCAAGATGTTTGATGATCCTAAACCCTAAACCCTAAACCCTAAACCCTAGCCTTGTTGTTAGGCCGTAAGCTGCCCAGTTAGTTTCCATAGACAGGGGACCCCCAATATACTCCCCCAACTACCCGAAACCCTCAAGCCCTCAACCCCAAAATACCCTCAAACCTAAACCCCAAAATACTCTACGTAAACCCTAAACTACCCTAAACCCTAAACCCTGATCATGGGGACCCCCAAAGAAGGATCCCTAATTTTGGGAAGCCCAATTCCTATAATCTTGGGTCTTTTCAAAAGCGCTGCTTTTACCCTCCCTGTGGGTTTCGGATGTAGAGTTTATGGCTTAGGGTTTACAGTTCACTAGTTTCTTCTGCACTTGGTTCTCCAATATTGGGGAAATTTCCCTATACATGCCTATACACAATCCATATACAACCACTATATCTATTAGCTTACTCCATTTTGTTTCCCATTTGTTTCTCCAGGGAGACTGTCAGAATCCAACCGTAAATCCAAACCCCGAACCCTAGAGCCTGAACCCTAAACCCTAAACCTATTCCTTATATCTGCAGCTGCAAAACCAGTAGGATGCTGTTCGGCGCCAGTGCCAGGCTTCAAAAGAAGGGAAGAAACTCTGCAGAAAGGTCCTGCTCTTCGGGGTTTCAGTGGGGTTCAGGGTTACCCTAAAGTGATGTTTAGGCTGCCGGGCTGAAATCTGTCGAGTTAGCTGAGGGTTAATGGTGGTGGGGCTTCAAGATACTAAGATTTGTTGTTGGTTCAGCTGCTGGGTTCTGTTCCGAAAGCACGGATTCAGAGTTGGTACTTTCCCAAGATAAGGGGACCCCAACATAGAAGCTGATATAGTATAATCCTTATTCTGGGGCACCCCAAAAAAGGACCCCTAATTTTGGGAAACTCCCAGTTCTGCGCTGCCTGTTGGTGCAGTCATGCTGCGGCATCGACTCTCCTTTGCAACTGCTAGCCAACCATCAGTTTATCTGAGCAAAAATCTAAACTCCAAGTATCCCCCTTAATAACCCCCATAATACTCCCCTATATAATCCGCTATGTAGGCCCTCCTTAAAGGGTTTAGATTATGGCACATATAGGAGTATGGGAGGATTATGTGCTGACACGCTCTGATCGCCCGGACGTAGGTCAAGCGGTGAAGCCAGTTCTGGACTCAAAAGTGTAGAGAGAGACAAAGAGAGAGAGAGAGAGTCCAACCTCGAATGAGCAGTTTCCCAAAACAGGGGGACTTAATATAGACCCCGAAATACTATGATCATAATCCTTTGAGGGGACCCCCAACAGGGACTCCTAATTTTGGCCCTAAACCCTAAACCCTAAACCCCCCTCATCAATTTTATTGGGTCAACCTGAGGCCGCCTGGTTGCTCAGTCTGTCTGTTGGCAGATTTGTACAGTGTGCACGAGAATTCTTGGACCCAATTCTTGCTGCCCGGCAACAGGCCTAGTAGCAGAACAACAACACTAGCATTAGTATGGGTGTAGGTGAGAATGATTCTTCATTTACCCTGAAACTGTCGCATGCTTAGTTACTTTCCAGATGCCGGAAGTTTAGAACCAAGTCCTCAAGATAGGATGCTTTGCGTCTTCGCATCAGCACAGGATGCGTTGCATCTTCGCATCTTTAAGATGCGATGCTTCGCAAATGGAATTCTGTAGCATTGTGTGGTGCAGGCCGGTACGTCAAATTACGTGGACGCGCGGCCAAAGAAAAACACAATGCGTATCAAAATCTGCGAATCATTGGAAATGTTGCAACTACAGGCTGACGTACTTGCTTGCAAGGCTTACCAATCTGTTGCAGGCTGTGACGTCCCCATCGAAGGCCTGTCTCAGGAAGTCAGGAAGGGCCTCCAACCTGGCAAAGTCAGCAGCTGACCTCTGCCTTCATGGGAGTGATTGAGCGGCATGGAGGGAAGTTGTCTACTTGGTTGCAATAACATAAACCCCAAAGAAGAGCCGTTTAAAGACCAGATTGACTCAATGAACCCTTGTCTCCTTCTTACTCAGGCCTCAGAAGGGCGAAACCTTGCCCCATACATGTCTGAGGTAAGACACCACGTGCAACACAATTTGCGCGGCCTACAATATAGTCGGGCCGCCCAACTTATGAAGGACTCTCCTCTCTTCTCTGTCCTTTCTCTCATCTCTCTTCTCTCTCTCCATCTTCTTCTTCTGCAGGTGATGGAGAGCTCTACAGCCCTCCCGGGGCCCGGCCCCGCACCCCCAGCTCGGCATCCATGTCCCTCTCCATCTTCTTCTTCTTCTCACTGCTATACCCTCCCCCGCTGGGGAGGGCCGGGGCACAGCCCCAAGCAGGCAGGTCTGATAGGTTCGAGAGCTGGGTGGGATCAGAGTTTGCCGGATTGTTGCCATACCCCCCCCCCCCCAGTCTTCTTCTTCTACCCCACCCCGTATCCGGCGCCCTTCTCCTCGCCCCCGCGGAAAAAAATCAAACGTGAACATTTGTTCCCTGGAAAAAGTGGCCGAGGTAAAGTTGACAGATGGAGCCAAGACAAATCTCCATCTCTCTCTCTCTCTCGCCATTCGGCTCCACTCCTCTCCACTCTGCTCCTCTGCACTCCATTCCACTCCTCTCCTCTTCTCTCCACTCCAATCCTCTGCTCTCCACGCCAATCCTCTCCACTCCTCCTCCATTCATCTCAACTCTCCATTCCTCTACTTTTTCCTCTCTCTCTCTCTCTCTCTTTCTCTCTCTCGCTCTCTCCACTGTCCGCTCTCCACTCGACTCCTGTCCGCTCCTCTCCCCCCCTCCACTCCCCTCCTCTCTCCGCTCTCTCCGCTCCCTTTCTTTATTTCTTTCTATTTTTCTTGCTGTATTTCTTTGCGTCTCGTTCTTTATCGTTTTTTCTTTCATTCTATCGTGCGCTCTTCTTCTCTCTCCTTCTCTCCTCCTCTCCTCTCCTGTCTCTCCTCTCTCGCCATTCTCCACTCCACTCCTCGCCATGCCTCTACTCCTCCCCAGTCCTCTACTCCTCTCTACTCCTCCATTCTTCTCTTCTCCACTTCTCTCCATCCCTCTCCTCTCCTCTCCGCTTCTCTGCTCTCCCTCCTCTCCTCTCCTCTCTTTTCCTCTCTTCTCCTCTCCCCTCCCGTCCTCCACTCCACTCCTTCACTTTTCTCTCCGATCTCCACTCCTCTGCACCTCTGCACTCTCCATTCCCTCTCCGACGCCTTGAGTTCACCATGTCCAGTTGGGCCCCAGCTGCAATGAGCGCAGCTGCGGCTTCATGCTGGCTGCACATGCATGCAACCATCAAAGGTGTCCTACCATGTGCATGAAAGTGGAAGCGCGTGGAGCATGTATCACGTCCCAGTTTGTGCTGTAGGGTGAAGATGGCCTGCCAAACTTCATAGGCGGAGGTCGGCATCAACGGCACACTCCAGGATTCGTTGACATCAGCCTGCAGCTCCAGCAGCCGGTACACGAAGTCCACCGTGCCTCCATAGGCATGCAAGCCTACCGAAAGGGCAATCGAGAGATCTCAAGGCTTGATGGATGGCCGCGCCCTTGAGACCAGCTCATCCAATGCATCCATTGAGCCAAACGTACAAGCGGCAGCCAAGGCATGGAGACCGGCAAAGTCCCTGGTACAAGGGTCATAGCCAGCATCTAGCAAAACGCGAATGCCTTCTGAGTTGTTTGCGTGGGCGGCGAAGTGCAAGGGAGGAGCTAAGCCCAAGTCAATCGTAGCCCTTGCTATGATCAGCAACCGCGCAACATCATTGTGATGGGAAAGGACTGAAATGCCTAGCGCGGTCGTACCTGGTGGTGTCCCCACTATGGGCTGTGCATGCCGCGTCTGGCAGTCAGGGTCCGCCCGCTGCGCTAGCAAACCTTGAACCACCCGCGTGTTGCCAGCCAGCGCAGCATAGTGTAGCGGTGACCATCCGGCATCGTCAACCTCCTGCACTAGCTCGAAACCATTTTGATACATAAAGGCAGACACTGCAAGGGACTCAGCATCTAAGCCTGCGCAAGCTGGCCGGCCAGGACATGGCTCGACCAGCTTTTGCGCCGGAAGACCTTTCATGATGATCTTCTGCCTGTTCAGCAAAACTCCTTACCAAGGTTCGTAGACACCCACAACAACGAGCTCTTTGCAAACTACAGAGCCTCACTCAATACTGCGCTACAATGTGGCAGCTACCAAAAAGACGTGGGCATATTTGGGCTACCGGAAGAGCATAGAAGTATTTCCAATCTCAAAAACGAAGAACGCTTCGGCAAGCCTTAGGGTTCCACGCATAAACCTTGATTGATTTGTCAGCAGCTCATATCGCGACCATAACTAATGACAAATACGCAACGCAACGATGCACAAAGCTTCCCGAGCGTCGGTACTCCTGCAGATTGAGGCACTTCAGCAGGGAAAGTAGTTTGTGCTTCACAGCACTGCTCAAAACTGGTGCCAGCTTCATGCGATCACTGCTTACTGTGAATTTGCCAGAACCAGGCGATCCCCAAATCGTGCCGCCAAAAGATGACACGAGCTCAATGTCTGTGTTGCCCTTGATCATGAACCAACCTTCCGCGAAAGATCATAAAACGTTCTTTCCTCTGTTGTTCTCAGAGTCTTGGAAGGCTTGCCATGTTTACAGCAGGTAATTCTTTCTGGAGATTGCAAACAACTATCACACTATGACGAACAAAAGTTTCTAAGAGGGCCGGTCCAGATGCCATGCGACACCATCCCCGCTCTGCCCATGTCTGCGGAGAGAAGACCTTCCCCAGCTCCTCGCTCACAATGATGGGGCACAGCGCAAGGAAAAACGAGCACTTTGCCACGTAGGCAGGGATGCTGGTGACGGCCATGGATAGCTCGCTCTCTGGACTTGAGAGGTCTGAATTTGAGAGCGAGGGCTGTTTGCCGAGCTGTGGGCAACAGAAAAAATCGTACCAGAGGTATAGGGGTTGCCTTCTCAAACACGAAGTGGAAAGTGCCTCCTTCTTGCACATGACCTCAGCTGGAATTAGCCGCGAGTCAGAAATCATGTAGCGCTCGGCGTTCTGAAGAACACGCAACTGCTTGCCGTCAAGATCGGGATGATCATCGCCAACCCACTCATGCGAGATGAATGCGACCTTCCCATAACTTTCCTCATACTCAACGACAATGGCCTCGGCCTTCAAGATCTCGTGTGGCCGAACCTCGGTCATTTTCAGCAACTGCTGTACGGAGACTGCGTACATTGGAAAGAGCATGGCAGCCCCCATGGTGCCTGAGACCATCTATGATGCTGGAGACAAAAAAATCAAGTGATGTGTTCAGAAAACAAGACAGCTAAAGAGTACCAATTCATTCCACGGCTGTCATTGCCATCAACATCCTTTAAGTTCAGAGACCTTGCATACTGCTCCAGCGGGGTCAACCTCGTGTCAGCTCTGCAGCATTCCATACTGTGCAGCCAGCAGCGTCTTGCTGCGCAAAACTGTGATAAGCTTGAGCCATGATTTCAAATGCAAACGCTGTTGAGCAACGCAGAAAGATCGTTGCTGAGCCATACAAAGCATGCCTGTGGTTCGTGTAGATGTCGATTGAACTTAGCCCCCTATAAATTTTGTGTGAAAACTCACTACGAATAATGGCCGGTCAAATTGAAGAGCTACCTAACATACAAAACACAATCTCAGCTGCAAATTGGCGTTCCGTGCACGATTCTCAAGTAGAACACAGGGGGAGGTTGGCTGCGATGCTTGCCCCTCTCCAGCTCGCACTTTACCTTCCTTTTAGTATAGCCAAGCTTCAGAACCGAAAGCCAAATTTGACCCAGCTCTATTGTTGCATCTTCCGCAAACACATCTCCTGGTCCGTCGCTCCTCGGTAGAAAGAGCCTTCAGGTGGCCAGAAGCGATTTACGGTTCGGGACGGTTTGGGGCTTTTGCTGTCTTGGGTTCAGGTTGAGGACTTATGTCGCATGCCTCCGCGGAGATGGCCTAGTTGCTAAGTTCCCTGCCGCAAAAAGGTTAACCTTTGTATTATAGTAGGACTAGATATATACCCCAAAAGTTGAAGGTTACCTACCCAGCTACTAAGCTGGGTAGGAGATCTCAGGGCTGACTGCTACACCAGGGCACTTCTTGCTTTGTTGGGGGGAAGCATGATGCTTGGCAGAAGGGGCATACATACCCATTGCTCGCAGTTTGGCGTAGTCATGCTCAAGCGGAATCAGAGCCAGGGATGGGTAGTTTTCGCAGAATTCCCATCCCATTGACTTGCCTATCTGCATCAGATCTTGGTTGGCCTTCGGAACCCTTTGAAAAGTATTAGTATATAAGGTCCTTATGAAACCAATTAGGGAAAATATTTGAGTATCCCAAAGGCCAACCCAGAAATGGACATTTGGACTATATCTTGTTTTGGCTAGGGTCTAGGGTAGAAGCGTTGGCTCAGTCGCCTCCATTGAAGCCAGCCTGGCGGCAATCATGAACACCCTCAATGCCTCCAGCACCAACCCAACAGGACACCCATACCTGTACCCTTGATTGACAGTATCCATACTATGATAAGTGGCATATCCACAGCACGCCAAACACGGCTCTGCAAGCCATTTGAGCTATAGTCTAA